AGACACCACTTTTTCAGATAAATTGGGGGTCGGGGTGGCACTGATTGGTGGGCCTGATAGAGCTTCATCAGAGCTAAACAACAAAATAAATCTGAAGTTCCTATGTTGAAAAGTTTGAGTTATAAACATTTTTGCATGTCCAGGCACCCCCTCTTTGGATGAGCCCCCTCCTCAAATGTGGGGTCTATTGTAAGACCGTTGGCTGGTGCAGTGCAGGTCGGTCTCATCTACAGTCCTGCCAAATTTCATGTTGATTGGTGCAGCCGTTTTTGTCCTACGGTTGACCAAAAATCACTGAAAAAAACAGTATGAAAACAATATGACTCCCGCTTACGCTTCCCATGCGGGGATCATAATAAAGAGATATCTAATATATAGTATTTGACCGCTACAATCTGCCATTCTGTAGGCATGGGTATAACATCTGTGCTAGGTTGTTTCCATAAGTTTTTCAGGTCACAGTTGTAGCCTATCTAGTCCTGCTTCAAATTCTCTAAAACCAAGCCACACTGGTGTACACAGACCCCATGTGATATGCTGCCACCATTGCCACCACACTATCACAACCTCATTACTGCAGTTCTGTACTTGCAAAAACATTGTGAACCTACTGTACTTCACATGCATATTGGCAGGCCCAGTGTGTTCTTTATAGGCACAGGAAGATCTCAGCACAAAACCCTATACAGACCACCCACATTCTGGCTGATATTTTTTTTACATCGTAGAAAGTTTGTCATCTAGTGTGAAAGAGTCTTATATAAGCGAAAGAACTGCAGAGTTGGGTGGGTGTGGCATGCAGTTGGTAAGCCACATTTCTGTCAGATATTACCTTTCATCTGTCTGTAGTAGAGCTTTTTTTATCTCCAATGACTGGACATACCATAAACCACAACAGCATCTTGGCAGAGCAGTTCTGATGTTAGCCTTTAGGCATGTTGGAGAGTTGGTCTCTCTTGTGGCTGAGTTGAGAGAGTTGGGGGTTTGATTCCCTGCTATTCAGTCACTTGTTAAAGTGTCTCTGGGCAAGACACTGAACCACCACTGCCTTTGATGTGTGTCCCATCAGTGTATGGGTGTGATTTAAGTCTTGCATTGGACTCCATGGAATGATTTATGTAGATTATTTTTGTAGAGAGATACAGTAATAAATTGTTGTGTGAATGGGTAAATGAGGGCACAGATTGTAGTGTAAAGCACTTTAACTATTCTGGTTGGATTGAAATGCACTATATAAGGACAGTCCATTTACCATCTTTTGTTTTTATGTGCACATTTTTTTGAGTAATTTAAGTAGGGATGCACAATACAGTATATCGGCATTAACATCGGCATCGGCTGATGTAGGTCATTTTTTAGAATATTGTATCAGTCTGATAAGTAAGACTGGGATGATACTAATGTCTGATATTGATTTTGCCACTTTTTAGCTTTGTGTTTTTGTTTTGGCAGGGGAAATGGTTGGTCGAGTGGTAATTGTTTGATCATGATAGTGATACTGATGCTGCACAGCCAGGAATAACTGAAGTAGAGAGCCATGTCAGAGGTCTGGCTGTATTTTACGATATTACAAAAAGACACGTGTGTTTTTGAGTATATCTAAATAATTTGTGCATTTGTGTAATATTGGTAAATATCGGTTATTGGCCAGAACAGCAATAACTATATCGGATATCAATATTGGCTGATATTTTCATTTCTGTGCATCCCCAAATTTAAGCTGTTGTGTTTTGACTTCAAAAATATGGAATCTTCCGAACATAGCTTCTATCTCTGTCATAAATGCTAATTTGGGAACAGAACATTTTAATAGTTTAATTGAGCTGTAGCTAATGACACAAGAATTAGTGCATGGTGTACTGATAGGTAAATGAGAAGCTGCAGCACTATTATGTGAAACCATGACATGAAAACAATTTTACATTTTTTTCCTGTGTTATGAATTGGCAGGCAGGAAAGAACCCAGGCTGCAGGCAGCATCCAAAACAAAGGCTTTAATAAAGAAAATTGCTGACAAGGCAGCTCAAAAGATTTACAAAACTTGGTGTGACAAGAACTCGAGGACAGGGACAACCAACAGGCTGGATGACACAGCAAAATGATCAGACAGGGAAGTGAAGACAAGACAGAATATAAAGGTGAGACTAACGAGCACAAACAGGAAACACCTGGGAGAGAAACATGAGGAGCAGGTGAGAGTGGGCAGGGCTGGAGCAAAGGCAGACGGGGAAGAAAACAGATGGCAAGACAGAAAACTAAAATAAAGCATTAACACAGACAACAATCATAACATCCTGATGCGAAATCAGACAATTTTCTGCCACTTTAACAAAGAAATTGGAGATGATTTTTCTGTACTGTACTGTAAATAAACACGAGGCACATCAGCTAAAGGAGGTAGGATGACCACTTCCTTTGGTCTTCTATCAACCCCTCAAAACACAAAGAAACCAATCTGTGTGTGTGTGTGTGTGTTGTGTGTGTGTGTGTGTGTGTGTGTGTGTGTGTGTGTGTGTGTGTGT